TTTCAAGAGCCTAAATAAATTAAAATTATATATGATAATTAAGATTAAAGTTTTAAAAAATATAAGATAAATATAAATAATTTAGAGAATTTTGATAAAGTAAATAATACTAATAAATTTATAATTTTTCGCTTTATCAATATTTTTCAGATTACTTATATTTATTTTACAAAGCTATTAAAGTTGATTAGTTAATATATTATCAATATTTTAAATTCAAGTATAAGAGAGATTTAAATAAATATATATTTTATCATAGAGTATTTAAACTTTGGTTCTATCACAAAATCCTGACATCCAAAATTTCGAAAACTATAATCCCGACATCACACTATATAACAATTAATATTTGAAGATTAGTAATCACATTAACAATTATTGTCAATCTTCAAATTTTAATTATCACGTTGCATAATGTCGGGATTATGGTTTTCGAGATTTTGGATATTGGGATTTTGTGATAAAACCTTAAACTTTAGAGAGATTACTAATAAATAAGATAATACTAACTAGCTAATCAACTTTAAATAATCGAATTATACTAATAATAATTACCTTGTACAATGTAGCTTGTACTTTTTTCTCCAAGTTATCACAATCTTGTGGAATATTAATATTTAGTTTATGATTATGTAAAATTACAAACTCATTATCTTCATCAATTTCATTATCAAAAGCCATATCTGAGTTTTCTAAATCCGGTAGATCATACAATATAGAATTTTCATTATATAAATCTTGCTTGATATACGATAAGGTAGGATTAATAAATCTAATCATTGATGATTTGCTAGCACCTAAATAAGTTGATGCTTCAGCAAATGGACAAAGAATAATTACTAATTCTTTAATTACATTCCATTCAGAATCAGTAAGCATTATTTGTTGAAGGCATTTTGATTCTTTTTGTGTTTGAAGATCATTAGATTGTGCAATTGTTACTTTTACCAAATTTATTGCATTTTGTAAATGCAAAAGACGTCTTCATGCAAGATAGGAAGAGTTTCATCTTGTTTCAGTATCTTGAATAATGCGTAAATACTTATGAGTCTTTCTAAGTATCTAACAAATAAAAAATTTAATTTTAATTAGTTTTATGAATTTTGTATTCTATAACTAATTTGTACTAAATACTTTTAGTTTAATAAATAAATAGGTTTTATATTAATTTAACGTTATACTTTATTACTAATAATAAATAATATAATATATATATATAGTTTAATTATAATAACAATAATGCAATAATGCTTAATTTAGTTATAGGTTTTGCATACCAAGTTCGTACAAACTGACAATCAAATTTGTACGTACAGCTAAATTAATATCCTGATTAAATAGTGATTTCTCATGATTTAGTAAATATATTTATGTAATTTTAGTACCATTAGATTTGTCTTGTCATGACGAATCCAATAGTACTAAAAATACGTGAGTATAATTACTAGATCATAAGAAATCACTATTTAATTAGGATATTAATTTAGCTGATTTAGCTGTATGTACAAATTTGATTGCCAGTTTGTACGAACTTGGTATGCGAAACCTGTAATTAATTATACTGCATATATATATAATTAAAATCTAGTTTTTATACTAGTATTACATATCAAGATTTAAATTGCAATTGACCAAATATATAAAACTAACCTTATCTTCAGAAATTAGCAACTTTTTTTGCGCATCTTCAAGTCTTTCTGATTGCTTTGGAGACATAAAAAATGCAAGTAGTCTTTTTGTACAAGCAATAAGAATCTTGGCTAGAATTAAACCTTTTCTTACAACTAATTGTAGTGTGTGAGCCGTACATTTAACTCGACTAATACATTGTGCTTCTATTAATTTAAGAGCCTTAACCATATTCTGGGCATTATCAGTAGTAATTGTATTTACTTTATTTGATATATCCCAATTATCCATAATTTTAATTAAGTCATCATGAATATTCTCTGCTGTATGAGGATAGGAACAGAGTGTAATAGTAAGCAAAACTTCATTTAATTTAAAATTCTGATCAATCCAATGACAAGTGACACCAAGATATGCTTCACGGTTTCTACTAGTCCAAAGATTACATGTAAGTGAACATGAAATTGCAGTATTTTTTAACTTTTGTTTTAAAATGTTAGAAGAAAAATTATAAGCTATGTGTATCATTGATTTAATAGCTTTACAGGTAGGCAGTTCATAATAAGGATCCAAGTTAGCAATAAATACTTTAAATTTTTCTGATTCTACAACTCTTAATGCTTGTACGCTATCAATAATCCATTCAACTAAAGATTGTTTTTGTTTTGTTTGGCACTTTAAATTAGTAGCTGAGGTTTTAAACATAATACTAATTTTTTGTTGATCTTTTGATTTTAGATTTGAATTTTTGGTAATACCATGTATACTTGAAAGATGATCCCACATATTTCCTGTTGATTCACCTATATTACAAATTGTATTACAAGTTTGCTTTTGACGATTTCGAATAACTTCTAATGGGCACCATCCAACACGATTTCCAATTGCTATATGCTCTAAAGGTTGAAAGTAATTCCAAACTTTACTGCCTAATTTGCTTGCACTTGTCTTTGATAAAGGTCTATATCCATCTGGAATAGATTTAAAATTTTGGGA